ATGAACTAGCATGTATAGGAGTCCCCAAGCCAGATATTGTGATGGCACACAATACACTTAAAAGATATTCGTTGTTCTCACTGAGGAATACTGGAAATGTCTGGGAGCATCTACCACCATTATCAAGGAGCATTTCACATGCACATGTCTGGTTGTTCATTCAAAGCTTAAATCTCAGTGTAGAGACCCTGAGCCAGAGGCTGGCACATGGTGAGTGATGGTGAGTGATGACTACTCGTCCCCCACTTCCTTGAAAGCAAGGAGGTCTGGCTGGAGACAGTCCGAAGAGTCTCAGAACCAGCCCTGTCCTGCTCTCTGTTGCTAAGGCACAATCTGAAGATTTAAGGAATCAGTTCCTGTTTGGCTGGCCCTGGCTGACCCCAACATCAACTCCTTTGACTGGAAATAAACAGGATCTTCCTTTGTGTCCTCGGGAATGCAACGGAGGAAGAACTCCAAAGGGAAAGGGTCTTTTCTGCCAAGGACTATCAGCAAGGGTGACAGTGGGAGCTCAGTGTTGTCTTCTTCCTCCAGGGTGGCAAGGGAAGTGCCCTTGTATGTGCCATCCCTTCTCTCTCCTCATGAGCTCCATTAGAGGCCAGAATCACAGACCCAGAGGGCCCAGCCATGTTTGGTTTGGATTTTTATTCTTTGGGCCTCATGTGTGCATTTACACATGCTGGGCTACACACCTTCAATGGGGGTCCAGTAAACATAATCACAGTGACAGCATCTCTTATGGATACAGAATTGCAGATGTCCCGGGGCAAGCTGGACCGTTTATCCTGAAGGGTGTATGTTACCTGAGAATGTCCTCAGTGAGGGTAAGGAAGGAAACAGAGCCTGTGACTCTCATTATAGAACAGGGTGATGAGATTCAAGAGGAACCCCAATACTTGCACGAACCTTCCTTTTCTCTCCTTTTGGCTCCTGGGGCCAGAGTGGAGTTGGTCCACCCAGAAGCTTCAACAAGACTCATGTTCCTTGTCCATTTTTATAAACCCCTTGCATCTGGCCCGTGTTTACCCTCTCCCCTGCAAAAAGGAGGATTTACTACTTACTTTCAATGTTTTGTTTAGCCAGAGGGGAGCAGAAGAGTGTCTCCCTCTACCCTCTCCATCTTCTTTGGTCTAGGAAGACAGGATCTTGTGTCCCTTCATCTCCACCTCTTTCCTCCTTCTCCTTGTCTGGTCTCCAATTGCTCTTCTGTTCTGCAGACCAATGCCCAGAAGCTGATGGGCAAGAACAGAGTAAGTCCCCTTGTTTCAGCTTGAGCCTTCTGACAACTACCCCCAGGGAAACTACCAACACTAGAGTTTGAATGCCTGGGTCTTCCTAAAGTTCATGTTAAAACTGTAATCCTTTGAGTATTCGGAGATGGGGGTCTTTGGGAGATGATGGGTCATGAGAGGAGCCCTTGTGATAGGATTAGTGTCCCCCTTCCAAGGGCTAGCTTGTCCCTTCCAGGGCACAGGGAGATGTAGCTGTTAGTGAGGCAGTGCGTGGGCTCCTGTCACACATAGAACCTGCTGGCGCCTGACCTCCAACTCCTCAGCCTCTAGAACTATGAGGAACTCCCAGCTGTTAATTCAGGTTTATGGTATTCTACTGTAGCAGTTGGAACAGTGCAAGACAATCGCTCTGATAGAAAACTTTCTGTAGCTCCCTATAGTACACACTAAAACCTCTGTCAGATGGAGCTATCCTGAAGTTTGTTTTGCAATAGTCCCACGATCCTTGCGCACACTGTCAACTGGTTTTCTTGGTGTGTTCACTGAGTGGGGACAGGAGCCATTGGGAAGGCATTTCCAGGCAAAACTAAATACTCCTGTAAGTCCAGGCAGAGGATAGGAAGATGAGACTGTAAGAAAGATATTTCTTTTAAAAGCCTATTTATTATATTTTATCAATTTATTTTGTGTGTAGCACATATGCACCAGACTCTCCCTCCCTTTTCGTGGAGTGAGGATTGAACCTAGGACCTTGTACATGCTAGGTAAGCGCTTTACCAGTAGAGATGTACTTCTAGCCCTGCCAGAGGTGTTGAAGATCACATTATATCTTAGACTATGAGGAACCAAATGGGAGATGCTGGAAGATTTGGGGTTTTAAAATCTTCTCGAGGTTTTGTGGAGGAGGCAACAGCCATGAGAGAGTGTGTGAAAGGCGACAAGCCTTGTCCACTTTGGTGTTAGTGGTTGACAGTGTCTGTATAACACCTGTGGCCCAGAAGATGCAGTCGTGTGTGGAGGGGCATGAGTGGGGGTCCTTGATTTTACATAGGCTTCTATGAGTCACCTTCTGCCTAAGGTGTTTCTAGGCAGGTTGAGGTACGAGGTGGTGGTCGGCAGGGAGGGACAGAGTGTCACAACTGTCACAGTACTGAACTATTTCTTCCCTTTCAGGCAGGAAACTCAAGCAGAGAGACACTGGATTGGAGAGCCTGGACCCTACACTGGATGTAGGAGGGGCACAACTGTCCTGGGGGCACCAGGCCTTGGGAGGCTGTCTGGAAAGAAGCTTTCTGGTTTTGCCTAGCACTTGAAGCATTTCTGGGCACCCCCTAAAGTAAATACAGTCTGACTGCATTTCCACAGCTCCAGTTGACTACGGCTACTCTTCCTATGGGGCAGACAGGCTAGCCTCCAGAGGTCAGCCCTGCACATCAACAGGCTGCCATCCTAGCCTGCCTGCCTGCCTAGTGATGTGCTAGGAGCAGGGCTGTGTGGACAGAACAAAATTCCTGATCACAGTTACAGTTGTCATCATCAGAGGCATAGCCAGTGGCTTCTAAGTGTTGCTTAGACACAGGAGACAATGACAGCCAAAGCCCCCTGACCACTTTCCTGTAAGGAGGTGGCAGCCACAATTATCTGTGGTCCTGCCGAGCTGCGGTACCTGCCCTGAGAATGAGACCAAGACTCAGGCTTTCCTTATCTAGCTGAATGATGTTGGCATCCACCTGTGAGGAGAGCAGAACAGACAAGTCAGGGCAGGGGCTCAGAAAGTGGTACTCCACAGCACAGGGCTCTGGCAGGCTGAGCACTTAGAATTAAGGGAAAAAGGGAGAGAGCAGTGAGATGGTTCAGTTGCTAAAGGTGACTACTGTCAAGCTCAAGGACCCGAGTTAGTTCTCCTGGACCCATGCGGTAGGAGAGAACCAACTTCTGAAAGCTATAGTCCACCTCTTCATGTGCATGTATATATGTTATAATAGGACACACACACACACACACACACACACACACACACACACACACACACA